TTGGAACATCAGAGGGCTGAACACGCCAGCAAGACGAACTGCCGTGCAAGAGATAGCAGAGGCGCACCGGGCAAGTATCCTTTGTCTGCAGGAGACTAAGCTAGAATCCTGGACACCCAGCATTGTTAGAGAGCTGGGAGGAGCCAGATTGGAAGGGTGCGTTGTTCTCCCTGCGAGTGGCACAAGAGGAGGAGTTGTTGTTCTATGGGACAAGAGCCTGGTCAGTTTTGTGACACACGCAGTTGGAAACTTCTCAATCACCGGAAAGGTGTATCTGATCCAGGACAGACTCGAGTTTTGGCTCACAACGGTCTACGGACCAGTCGACGACACGCGCAAAGATGTGTTCCTCGCTGAAATGGCTCACGCTGCACCACCACAAGGAGAAACCTGGTTGTTGAATGGAGATTTCAACATCATATATGAAGCACGCGACAAAAACAATCTCAACCTGAACAGGAGGACCATGGGCATGTTCAGAACAGCGATTGACAGAGCAGGTTTGAAAGAGATCAAATGCAAAAATAGAAGGTTTACATGGACAAATGAGCGGCTAAACCCAACGATGGTCAGCATTGATAAAGTGTTTTGTAACTCGGAATGGGATGCCCTCTTCCCCTCATTCATGTTGATGGCCTCGGCAACAACTTGTTCAGATCACTGCCCTTTGCTGCTTGCCAACTCTGCGGCACCATGCAAAAGGGCAGCATTTCGCTTCGAGTCTTTTTGGCCACGCTTTCCTCACTTTCAGGAAACAGTTGAACGAGCTTGGCAGCGCCCAGTTAATCACACCTGCCCAATCATCAGACTCAAGAAAAAGATGCAGAGGACAGCGCACGATCTGAAAATTTGGGCAAAGTCTCTTTTTAGCGATGCAAAGACCCAGTTCCACTTGGCGTGCGAAGTAATATTGAGGCTTGATATAGCTCAAGAAAGAAGAGGCCTGACGCCACAGGAATTCTGGTTAAGGAAACAGCTAAAGCTTCGGGTTCTTGGATTGGCTGCAGTAGAGAGAGCAAGGAAGAGACAGGTTTCAAGGATAACCTGGCTCAAGGCGGGAGATGCAAGAACGGCCTTCTTTCAAGCAAAGATCAACTCCAGGAGGAGGAAGAATTTTATTCACTCCCTGCAAATAGAAACAAGGACAGCCACTGCGCACAAGGAGAAGAAAGCAATTGTGCACGATCACTTTGCAAATCTGCTGGGGGAAAAGGAGGAAAGGCGCTGCTCCATCAACTGGGAGGAATTGGATATGCCAAGTATACAAAACGAGGGGCTGGACAACCCTTTCTCGGAACCTGAAGTTTGGGCTGCTATCATGGCATCTCCAGCTGAGAAAGCGCCAGGCCCCGACGGCTTCTCAGGATCTTTCTTCAGAGCTTGCTGGGGCACCTTAAAAAATGACGTCCTGGCAGTGTTCGATCACTTCTACAACCTAGTTGATGGGAACTTTGCCGAGATCAACTCAGCCATGATTGCTCTCTTGCCCAAGAAGGACGGAGCCACTAGAATGAACGACTTCAGGCCTATAAGCCTGATACATTCCATTGCTAAGCTGATCACAAAAGTGCTATCAATGAGGCTGGCGGCCGTCATGGACAAAATTATCTCGCCTGCCCAAACAGCCTTTCAGCGCGGGAGATGCATCCATGACAGCTACCTTTACATGCACAATTCAGTTAGATCTCTCCATAGAAGCAAAACCCCGACGCTTCTTCTTAAGCTGGACATAGCTAGGGCCTTCGATAGTATCTCATGGGAGTACATGTTAGAGCTGCTACAGAAGCTAGGCTTCTCAGCCCGTTGGAGGGATTGGATCGCCCTGCTGCTATCTTCTTCAACCTCAGCCTGCATTCTTAACGGCGATCCAGGCGACATAGGTGTCCATCTTCGTGGGCTCAGACAGGGAGATCCCCTATCGCCGCTTCTGTTCATCCTTTGCATGGATCCTCTCCATCGCCTCCTGGATGCGGCCACTAGGATGGGCGTGCTGAACCCCATCCCGGGCTCGGCGGCAAGGATGCGGACGAGCTTATACGCGGACGACGTCGTCATCTTCATTAACCCTGCTCGTCAAGAAGTAGATAGTCTAGTAGAGCTGCTGCGGTTTTTCAGCGACGCAACAGGCCTCCGGGTCAACCTCGCCAAATCTCTCGCGGCTCCCATTAGGTGCGAAGACGTAGACATTCCTGATGTTCTTCAGAACTTTGGTGGCATCACGACGGCATTCCCAATTAGGTATCTAGGCCTCCCAGTTTCTACGGGGCGTATTAGACTAGCGCATATTCAGGTCATTTTGGACAGGATACGTGCTCGCCTCGCTGGCTGGAAAGGCAGACTCATGCCGCTGGCCGGCCGGCGAGTCTTAGTACGCTGCGTGCTTTCGGCAATGCCCACTTTTGCTCTCACAGCCCTGCGAGTTCCAAAGAAATTCTATAAAGATGTAGACAAATCACGGCGGCGTTTCCTTTGGGCGGGAGACGAGGAGGTGTCCGGCGGAAAGTGCAAGGTGGGCTGGAGCACGGTGACCATGCCAGAGGAGTATGGTGGCCTCGGCATCCACGATCTTCCTAGATTCGCCAGGGCGCTACGTCTGCGATGGCTATGGCAATCCTGGCAACACCCAGAAAGACCCTGGGTAGGAACTGGCTCGCCCTGTGATGCCTCAGACAGGGCCCGTTTGCAGCCTCCACAGCGGTGATCATCGGAGATGGGGCGACGGCTTCGTTCTGGTTCTGCTCTTGGCTAGGTGGACGCCAACTCTGTCAAGCCTTCCCCACCCTCTTCGCAAGATCAGCCAGGAAGAATCGCTCGGTCAAGGACGCACTGCACGAAGACAGGTGGATCATGGACTTGAGGCGCGGTGACACGGATGACATTGCACCGCAGGTGGTGCAGCTTGCGAGGGAGATCAGGCAGGCCGCCACCACTCCCACCCCAGGAACCCACGACTCCATTACCTGGAAGCTCAACGCATCAGGCTGCTACACTACAAGCTCTGCGTACAAGGCCCAATTCAGCAATAGACAGATCACCTCCTTCAAGTCCATCATCTGGAAAACCTGGGCGCCTGGCAAGGTCAAGATGTTCTTCTGGTTGCTGCATCTAGATAGACTGTGGTGCAATGATCGTCTGCAAAGGAGAGGCAAAGGATAGACTGTGGTGCAATGATCGTCTGCGCAGCCTAGAGACCTCTGTCCATCTATGCTGGGAGTGCCCGGTTGCATTGCAAGTCTGGCAAGCAGGGGTAGCTTGGACTGGATGTGCCTCTCTGAATCAGGCCTTCTGGTGCAACGAAACAACTACAACGGGTCGTGTTCAAAGAATAATAGCGGCTGCAGCACCAGGTCACAAGAAGGGTGTAAGAACCGTGGTGGCACTGATCTGCTGGCACATATGGTTAGAACGCAACGCCTGTACCTTCAGAGGAAAGCAGCCAAACGCAACACATATCACTGATGCCTGCAAGCGCGACATGGAGCAATGGCGAATGGCCGGGGCTAAGTGCATTGAGCTACCCTTCGGGGAAGTAACGTGAAAATATTCCATAGGACCTAGGCCCAGCTTCAGGGGCAGCTGTAATTTTTCCCCTTCTTAATCACTTGATCACCCTTTGTCACTCTCCTTCTGCTCAAATCAATGAAATGCCAGTAATACTGGCCGCTTCTAAAAAAGACTCTGGAGCAGCTGGGCCAATTTCCATAACTTTCGGGCTTCTCTTTCGGCAGGAAAATTTTCAGTTTGGACCCGGACTTCAGTTTAAAGTGGGAATGGGCGCAGGTACTGTACTTGTTTAACTTGGTTATTATGAACCTGAACGATTGTTGATTTTTTTTCCCTAGCATGTTAAGTGTTAGCACTTAGTACTACCTCAATATCAAAATATAAGACCTTTTTGTAAACAGAACTAGCCTACAAAAACATCTCATATTTTGATACGAAGGGAGTACATGATTTACATGCTATTCAGTCAGCTACATACATAATTTTGATGGCCGTGCAGCCGCTCAACTACAGGACATGCGAGGGGCCTCATCGGCGCGTTGCCCTACTATTTGTCGCGCCGGCGCCCGGAGGCGGTCTGGATGCGTGTTTGTGTCGTCGACCACACTGATTCTTGGGCTCCCCAGCTTTGTGAACACCAAGGTGCATCCCCACATTTTTACTACTGCAAAGCACCGTGGATTGTGAACTGTTACTTGTTTAGCTTGCAGTCTGTGTTATGAACCTCGACGTTTAATTTGTTGCTTTTTTCCCTAGCAGAGAGGTATTGCATGTTAAGTATTACTCCCTCCGT